CCATTTCTTTTGTTTTCCAGTTCTCCTTTGACTTGGGAGATGACCTTGGACATGTTTCGAACAGACCTTCTTTTGGCCCAGTGGATCAGCATTCTGCACAGCTTAAAAATGTGAAACTAGGTTGGTCTGCAGGAAAGCATCTTCCAGGTTCACTGAATAGATCCTTAAAAGGTACATGGGGAAAGAAAATCCATCTCTTTCTAGCAGTGAAGTTCCTGACCAAGAGAGCTCTGAGCAGCAAGAGCAAATAGAAGCACCTGATCAAAAAATAGGGGTTAAATCTTGGAAAGAAAACTAGATGTTGTCTTACCGTTTGTAATTGGATACTGGTAACTGAGTTGAAGCAGAAAGTTTCCTGCAAGGTCGAGGAGTTGCCCTGCCCACATTCGTAATGAATTCACGCCAGAGGTTCCCACGTTCCATCATGCACACTGCTAGGTCAGCCTAGATCAGGGCAAGATCACCCGTTTCTCCCAAGAAAGTGATTTTTTTATATTCCTGGAAACAGTTCTGTATTCCTTGTCTACGTTCCAGTGCGAAGGTACTGTTCTCCGTGTGGTGGTGTTTTGGATAGCCAGATGTGGCTGGTACAGCAGCAGAAGGCTGCCTTCTCTCAAAATCCCCAAATCAGTGGGGGTCACCACGGGGGGTCTGCAGCTTGCATGATCAATAATACTCTATCAGAAGTGAAGCAGGGTGTAGGTAACAGGTCAGAGGGTATCGGGCTGTGGTAAGAAGCGAGCTGTAAGGCATGCAGGAGGTGGGATTGTGAGGGGAGAGGCTGGTGGGAAGGGGACCGGGAAGCCAGTTGCAGGGTTAGGGGAGAGATGTTGGGATGAAATGCAACGCATCCAGGTTTTACTCCTCTAAAAGCGTGGTTACTGTGTGAAAGCCTTTTTCTGTAGTAAGCTGTCTTCCAGACCCGATGAATGGGTGTTGTGAGGAAGCCTTTTCCCCAGCTTTTCCTTTTGTGGGAAAGGGCCCCATGAACCAGGCACAACTTGGGAGGGTTGTCTTGTCTGTTTTTAAAACCTTTATATAATCCTCTCATCTTCTAGTGCCTTCTTTTGGGTAGACGGTTAACAAATCATCTTCTAAAGCAGTCAGCTCTCTCCTAGCCAACACTTCAGTATGGTGTTAGTCCTGTATGTGAGCAACTTGCTTTGCTGCAAGACAGCAGGGTAACAGAGGCAGTTGCTGTTTACCAGCTGGTATGGCATCCAAAATCGGATTCCCTGGAGGAGAGATGACACTGTCCCTCCTCCATCGCTGCAGCTGGAGCAGAGACATGGGCTTTACTGAGGTGGTTACTAATGGACAGGAGCTGGACAATGAGATGATGAGGCTTGTACAGATGCCTTCACCTCTTCCTGATATTAGCTGTGGTGAGGAAATCCTTGCTGTGCTGTTTGAGGCAATGCTGGAGGGGAAAAAAAGCTCACAGAAATACTTTGGAGCTTTGCAGTAAGAGCCCCTTCCCTTAGCAGAGGTTTTGGCTTCGGCTGGGCATGAGGGGAGCGAGGCTGAGGGGTTTGTGTGCATCAGACTTGTTGGAGGCCAAGGTCTGGATTTGGAGCCCCATTTCCCTAAGGCAGGCAGTGGCTGATGGCAGCTACCTACATCCCCTTTCTGCAATGCAGGCCCTGTCCCACTTTCCACTGCAGCAGCCTGGGGGGAGTCGTGCTTAGCTTTGGGGAGACACAGCTGGCTGCCAGGGGGGCCTTGCGGGGTTTTGCCCCGCTCGGTATGCAAGGTCACAGCAGGCAAGTCCCTCTCCAGCTTTTCCTGTGCTTGCATGGACCTGTCTCCCTCTAGAAGGTGATTTCAGTGTGTCACAACCAACTTGTGTTTCTCCCAGATGTTTGGTGTCTGAATGATTTAAAGTGGCCTGGGCTGTTTGTGGCATGGCTGTATGGCCAGCTTGAGTGGGAGCTCCTACAGGGAGTAAAACCAGGGTGCTGCAGTAAGCTGCACAGCCTTCCCAAACCACAGGGGTAGGGGCTGCAGGATTTGTGGTCTATCGCAAGGTAACTCAGGTTGGAAGGATCCTCAGGAAGCCTCTTGTCCAACCTCCAACCAAAGTCAGGGTCAGGTCTGAGGTCAGACCAGGTTGCTCAGGATTTTATCCAGTCGGGTCTTGGAAAAAAAAACCTCCAGGGATGGAGACTGCGTGGTCTCTCTGGGCGATGCATGACTCCTCATCATGGAAAAGTTTTTATCAGGGTTAATTACTAGAAATGCATAACCTCAGCAGCAGTTGCAGGCTACATTTTGCCTACGTTCCTCCAGGAGCTCATGACACAGGAGTCTGTACCCTCCTTGAAAGCCTGCGAGCTGTCCCCTGCCTGGGGCCGGCAGCAGAGCACCCACATTTGCTTTCCCTCTGTTGAGCCTGGCAGGAAGGAGGTCCTGCGGCTTGGTGTGTGCTGAGCTTTGTTTGCTCCACTAATCAACTTCCCACAGTACAGTTCTGATTTTTTTCTAGAGATTTCTCGTTTCTGTACTCAGTATCGCCTATTCATGCTTTAACCAAGGCCTGGATTGAGCCCCCTGGTTCTGCTTCGCTCTGCAGTGCCTGTGAGAAGGACGCATGTGCTGCCAGGCGGGGAGGCACAGCTGCTGGGCAGGCGATGCTCTCGGCAGCCAAAGGAGGCCCGTCAGCTTTTGGCACACAAAGAAGTCAGAGACTGAAACTAGGATGTGTTCAAGGACTAGGACTGAATGTAGTTTCCTAACCTCATGTCATGATAGTGGCAAATGCCA